AATCACTGGACAAATGTGTTCTATACAACAGTAATGACGTGTTATTACCTTGTGTAGCGTCAAACGCTATACTTATACATGGGTGTGTTCTATGCAACAGTAATGACGTGTTTTACCTGGTGTAGCGTCAAACGCTATACTTATACATGGGTGTGTTCTATGCAACAGTAATGACGTGTTTTACCTGGTGTAGCGTCAAACGCTATACTTATACATGGGTGTGTTCTATGCAACAGTAATGACGTGTTTTACCTTGTGTAGCGTTATACATACATGTGTGTCTATGGTGTGTTCTATGCAACAGTAATGACGTGTTTTACCTGGTGTAGCGTCAAACGCTATACTTATACATGGGTGTGTTCTATGCAACAGTAATGACGTGTTTTACCTGGTGTAGCGTCAAACGCTATACTTATACATGGGTGTGTTCTATACTTATACATGGGTGTGTATACAACAGTAATGACGTGTGTAGCGTCAAACGCCATAATTTATACATGGGTGTGTTCTATGCAACAGTAATGACGTGTTTTACCTTGTGTAGCGTCAAACGCTATACTTATACATGGGTGTGTTCTATACAACAGTAATGACGTGTTTTACCTACGTCAAACGCCATACTTGTGTTCTATACATGGGTGTAGCGTAATGAACCTTGTGTAGCGTCAAACGCTATACTTATATACATGGGTGTGTTCTATGCATAATGACGTGTTTTACCTTGTGTAGCGTCAAACGTATACTTATACATGTGTTCTATGCAACAGTAATGACGTGTTTTACCTGGTGTAGCGTCAAACGCTATACTATACTTATACATGGGTGTGTTCTATGCAACAGTAATGACGTGTATCGTCAAACGCTTTTTATACATGGGTGTGTTCTATACAACAGTGACGTGTTTTACCTTGTCGTCAAACGCTATACTTACATGGGTGTGTTCTATGCAACAGTAATGACGTGTTTTATACATGGGTGTGTTCTATGCATACTTATACATGGGTGTGTTCTAATGACGTGTTTTACCTGGTGTATCGTCAAACGCTATACTTATACATGGGTGTGTTCTATGCAACAGTAATGACGTGTTTTACCTGGTGTAGCGTCAAACGCTATACTTATACATGGGTGTGTTCTATGCAACAGTAATGACGTGTTTTACCTGGTGTAGCGTCAAACGCTATACTTATACATGGGTGGAATGTGCATTCGCAGCGACCTGGCTTCAATAACATCCAGCTGATGTATGACGGATCTCACATAAAGGGCATGGTCAACGGCAAGCAGAAGGTGATGCCGCTATCAGGTGAGACAAGAGGTTACGCTGTTACACATGGTGGTCCTGCAAGCTTGGCACATGGCATTACAATCTAACTTGAACATGTTACTAAATCAACACATGGCACCAATATCATCTAGGATAACACTGCTGCAGACAACTGGGTTATAAGCTGTTCGGCCATGTGGACTCGAATAAAAGGGCCCGTTGTTCGAATCAGGAGACTCTGATGTCACGATTATCACTTGAATATATTACCATCATAAGATTCTTGAGAGGCATTTAGAAGTTGGTGAATATAAGACGAGAATATGGATGGCAACTTCTTCTTTATTGTATAACACGGTGTTTCTGGGCTACTTCTTGCCCCATAGCCCAGAAACGTCGTGTTACATATATTCAGCAACAAAAAATACGTCAGTACGAATTTAAAATAAGATAGGCACTGTAATCAAATCATTACAGAAATGGATATAATAAGAGGATCCAAAACATTTTTTGTGTACAATATCCTGACACATCAATGAATAACTCAGCATAATTCCAAGTGAACGTTTGCAGTCCAATCAGACTCTTGACTTCAGTATCTAGTGTGACCACCATGAGCGGCAATAACTGCAGCACAGCGTCTATGCATGGAGTGCACCAATCGATTGAAGGCCATAGGCACCTGGAACCACACTCTGAGAAAGGCCTGGCGCAATAAATCGGCTGTGATCGGCCTTGGTATGACATTATTCAGTCTCCTCTGAATTTCATCCCAAAGATGTTCAACTGGGTTTAAATCAGGACTAAGGGCTGGCCACTGCATAATGTTGACACCGTTCTTCTGTAGGAAGTCCCGTGTAGCTCTGGCAGTATGGTCCCGGGCGTTATCATGCTGGAAAATGTTGGTCCGGTGACGTGCGAAATGTGGTACGACATGGGGTCTTTGAGCTTGGTCGATGTAGTGCACCGCTGTGATGACGCCTCCTCTCCCTGGACCAAGGTTCTGGAACACCACAGGACCAACTTTCTGGTTCAGGCCTATTCCACCCCATACCATGATGCTTGCACCTCCCCATGAGTCTCTTTCCATAACACATTGGCCTGAGTAACGCTGGCCACGTCGTCGCAATATTCTTGTTCTGCCATCTGCAATTGATACGCAGTAACAACTCTCATCTGTGAACAGAACAGTTCTCCATCGCCTGTATCGCCAGTTTTGGTGTTGTAGGGCAAACTTTGGCGTTCACGCCGATGACGAGAGGTGAGGATAGGTCCACGGTAAGGTCTACGGCAATGGAGGTTCCCGCTGTTAAGACGTACTGATTGGTCTTCCGTGTGTTCCCACTGTCTGGCGTGCTGTTTCGGATGCCTGCATGAAGAGATTCTGTACATGCTGTCGCACAACATGGCGGTCTTGTCGTCTTGTGGTCACCCTTGGTCTGCCAGTACGGGGGCGATCATTTGTGGTGTTGGTGTCCCGGAAACGTTGCTGCAGCATGTAGATGGTCCGAACGTTGACCTGGAAGTGATTGGCAACAGCGTGTGCAGTGTGGCCAGCTTCAAGTCTTCCTAGCGCCTGGTTCCTCTGAGCTGTCGTGAGTCGCGGCATCCTGCTGACGTTGTAATGTGAATGTTTCAAGCAGGTCTGGGGTGCATTTATTGGGCTGGTCCTTGTGAACAGCACGTGCAGCATGAGTTGCAGGAAAAACATGGAGAATGCCGTACCATCTCCGACATCAGGTTGCGTTTTTGAGACCATTTCCTGGGTTCCATTCTGAGTTTGGGAAGGAATGTCTTTGCTCAGGTAAAGTTGGAGATGTTGTCAAAAATATACAATCAAAACATTAAATGAGTTTACCGTTATCCGTTTCTGCGAGGGAAAATTCCAAACTGACGTTTCTTTTGCTACTTAGTATATATATATATTTATTCCATAAAGAAGAAGTTGCCATCAATATACTCGTCTTATATTACCATCATAATCTTATTCGAAAGTTATTCCAATTTTTGCTGACAAATATTATCATCATATGTTAACGAATATTACAATGATGATGTGCCATGTTGCAGGTAATATTGAGAGAAGACAGGCCGGCATTATGCTGGGGTCTTGTCAGGGATATCCAAGCTTTTCCGGGGAGATTGAGGAGGTGAGACTTCGACTTTGTGACTAAAAGAGTCATGATTGAAGATTTCTACAAACAAATCACTTTTTAGTTTATCCAGTGATGAGTCTGAAGTGGTATGATTCTTTTTGGGGTGTTTTTGCTGCTGACGCTAAGGTTGCCACGGTAACAGTTGTTATAAGCTTGGTTTGTGGGATGATATCAATAATTTTGATGAGTGGTATCTTACTACACCACTCTTAAAGAGCTGGGCTGGTTATTTGATGGATCTGATCTGTGGGTAAATATACTGAAAGGTTCTCGGAAAGAATTGTGTACTTTCATACTTGACGCTCCTGAGTACCTACATATTTGGTTGTGTTCAAGCTGGCATTTGTAGTAAGGAGTCCGGCTTTCCTGCAGCTGTTATATATATATATGGAGATTGACAGTTATAATGGCATTAAACAAACAGATTTAACAACGGTTGATGTAGGTTCTGAGTATCCACTGCAACATTATGACAAGTGTACCTCAAACTGATATCACTTGTCCTTTTCAGTTTTCGATGTACCAGTGCCTGCCCTAGGTGACCTATCAACACATGAAATCCTGAAAACTTCACACAATCTAACCATGCTTCAGGCTGTTTGAAGGAGAGAGTTCATGGTGGGAGGCTTGACTTGAATTGCTATAGCAAAGCCACCAAGATGCCACCTGGCCTTCCGTAACCTTCAAACTATTTATGCTTTCCAATACATGTAAATAGAACACACAAGATGCTTCACAATTTGTTTTAATTCTGTTTCATGTGAAATAGTAAGTTGCTGGGAACTGAGCTGTATCTCCCAATTAACGATTTTGTTATGGACGTGTCGCTACACAGAGCCAAGTCAAACTGTGAACTGTGAACAATGTAACTGTGATGAATTAGCTGTACATGCCTGAAGCTTATCCTAAATGTGCTTTTAACAGATTTTATAATAAATGTGTACAATATACCTAGTGGTTCATGTTCTCATTTCAAAGGTTGGCCAAAGAAATGGACATTCCTAGCCGAACAGAAATTGGTTGTAAAGTTGAATTCAGATTATATAGCAACGTGTCCACTTGTGTGCGACTCCATGTGAGCCACTGAGCGGGATGTACATGTGTATTGCTTCTAACAGTATTTCAGGTGGCACATCAGAACATACACATATATAGTGAGGGAAACAAATAGGGGAACACCACTTCATGGCAGTGTTCCTTTATTTTCAGATTTCCTGCCACAGCTCTATTCAAAGATGGGGATGAAAACTTGTACAAATTTTAGGAACGCTTGAATTTTCCTGTGTTCCTTTATTTGTTTCTCTCAGTATATGTGTGTGAGAGAGAGAGAGAGAGAGAGAGAGAGAGAGAGAGAGAGAGAGACAGACAGAGAGAGAGAGAGAGAGAGAGAGAGAGAGAGAGACAGAGAGAAAGGGAGAGAGAGAGAGAGTAAATGGGTATTTTTTCTGTGCAATTATACAAGCATTCACTACAGTACCCTCACAATGGTGAATCCCAGTCACATGGAGTCAGCATACAGCACAACACAAAGCCTGTGACAACTTCTTATTACTTTCACATGGATGAAGAAACTCAGGTCACAGAAAACAGTTGTTTTATTTATCAGATTAGGAGACAGTGTACCTGAAGAACTGGCTTTACATCTATAAAATAACAAAATATATTTCATGTAGTCATAATATTTGAAGCACCTGCTGGGAGCCAAACATTCATTGAAGCAGATCAGAGCATTACACAGCATCAATGAGAACAACAACGGTGGTAGCAGGATAATGTCTGCACTTTCATGTTGACAATATAACAACTTCAACAAATAATGTAAAGTAACAATACAACAACATACCTGCATTTGTCTCGTAAAAATACATGTCTTGATTCTCATGACCAGCCTGCAACTAAATTTGCCCCCTGCCGAAATATCTGTTATACTTGTTAAATACTGTATAAAGACTCCACTAAAATACCCTTTTTGTACTGGATTTAAACATCTGCATATTCTGTCCCATTCCTGGAGTGTAGAATATACTGGAGAAACAGTAAGTGTGACATCACCATGAGGAACAGCTGAAAAGAGCTTGACTCTTTGCAGCCATGTGGGGAATCAAACCTGAGCCTTCTGTGTGACAAGCGACTGCTTTAACCACTGGGCTACCAGATCACAGCCACAAGGGGAGACAACTCCTGGACACCTCATCTCTGTGCTTCTATATTGTGAGACTAAATAGATCACATGTCAACTGAATTCACTAGTAGCCCACTACAGAATTACAAAACACACACTAACTTGATGAGTCATCAGAAACAAGAATATATTTTATTGCAAGGAAATGAGAAAAAACAGTTTTACACAAGTAAAATAGAAAAAAATATCAACAGGAATATACAATGCAATTACTAAGATCTAGATGGAAAAATAGAGATTCAATCACAATTCAAGGCATGTGTTTTCAATATTTGTACACCTACCTACACTGAATTCATTCAAAAATATTGTTACAATGCTTAAGTCGCTTCATACTGACATTCCTTGATAACAATCAGTCAACAAAATACATCATAACTTAGATAATTACAGATGTTACCTGGATGAAAGCTTTACTTGGGTATCTATATTGTGTCAGTAAAACTATACACTGATTTACACTCTTGTTGGTATCTTCTTAATGAAACCCTCTACCCTGGACTCTCATTCAACACGCATGTTGTTACAATCTGAAAACAAACTTCCCATCTACTGCAACAAGAATGGAAATGGTATTTTCAACAAAATTTGCACCATGAAATTGCACTTTTAAGAAAATCTGATATGCACCACAACATGTTTACATGCTTCTGTATGAATTATGCGAGTCAAATAAGGTACAAATTTCCTTGTCACAAAAACTGCTCACCAAATGCATTTTAAAAATATCATCTGTATCTTTTGCAGCATGGTACAAATTACACTTTTTAACATAACAAACACATGTGTTGAGACCAAGTCGATATGGTATACTTTGTTTACACAAGCTGAAACAGCCATTCTACACCTTGCATTGATAACCAATGTTAAAAAACATCACACAGGTTGAACACATGATGCATAATTGAAAACATGCTGAGCTATACAGGTGAATTAATATGTAGGCATACAGATATTGAGATCTAGTTCTGTGATAACATATCTAAAAATGGTGTATTCCCATACTGCCTACAGTTCCAAACTGCCTACAGGTTAAAACATGATACGGTCCAGTGATCAGAAAGTGAATTTAATGGTAATACACTGATCTGACCTGTTCTACCCCTGCTAAAATGAACTTGACCAGTTAGTTGGTTAATGAACTGACCTGTTCTACGGTGTCTTCCAACTCTGCCTACAGAAGTTCAAAAAATGACATGTGTTGGTTGGTAAGACATCTTTATTCATTCTGAGAGTTCGCAGTCTTTACATGGAGACATGGATATATCATGAAAAATTGATAAGTTTTACAGTCTTTTACTGGTTTTACAGTCTCTTACTGGTTTCACAATTACACACAACTGACAAGAATGTCCATTTCGTTGCCATGGACTGCGATATGTGACGGGACCCTGATAACATGTATTTGCATGATTATTTTTGTTTTGGTGGTATAGTATTCTTCTGTATATGTTATTTATTAGATCTGGTCTTTTTTGTTGTTGAAGTAATATTTGAGAGCCTGTATGGACTCTTTACCTATTTCATATTTTTTTAACCTTTTTAATTCGGCATCCCATTCAAATTTCCCTTAATACTCAGTTGTTGGGGGTTTTTTTTGGTAGTAACACCAATCTTTCAAAATTTCTATTTTTCGTTCTCCTCATTTCCTAAAAGTGTACTACCCGATCGCCGGAATACCTTAGTTGTGCGTGCAACATTAAATAAAGCAAATAACCACCACTACTTTACTCCAAACGACACACCCCTTCTTCATTGAAAATTGGGCTGTTCCATTATTCTACAGGGCAAAAAATCAGTTCCCACGCTGCCTACAATATTTTTGTTGGCAGTTTGGGATGTAGGCAGTTTGGAACTGTAGGCAGTATGGGACCTAACCCTAAAAATAGGTACATACTACATGTGGTCTGAGAAGGGATTTCCCGTTAGTACGTCATAAATACATGGCATGCTTCAACATTAGTATCAGGAATAAATAAGTCATCGCTTTAATCTTGTTTTGTAAAATGTACTGATATTCATTGAATTTGATGTATGTAAATACCAAACATATTTCTTTCAGATTGTTGTCAAACATCCAAAACAAAAATACACAGAAATAACCTTGCAATTTGTGACAACTGTATTTTTATTGATAACTTTGCCTGTTATCTGAATGGACACAAATGTTTCTTAGACTTCACTGCTTCAGCACATGTTTTACATGAAGCCAGCTGAGAGGAAGATGCTAGGGTATATATCACAATAGTCAGCAGAGCAAGCCGGAATGATATACATCTAAGAGAGCTGTAATTGGTTCCAACTTCCATCCTATGAGGTTGCTACAGGTTTGGTCAGTTCAGAAAACCACACGTTACCATGATAATGGCAGATTCCCAGCAAACGATGTACAAAATTTGATGAGATCCACAGCCTACTGCTGGAGAATGGGACTGTGATACACTCCATGACCATCCTCCACTCGGCTCCTCCGCACTCTCATATTACACTCCCCCTCCGCTCCTTTCCACCGGAATCTTCACTTCTGCACTCTGTTCTGCCGCCATGGCAAGTCGCGAGTTTGACACCCGGCCGCTCTTAAGAGCACTCATCAGCTGCAACAAGTCATCAGCTCATCAGGACCAAAATAACTCAGTGATGGTGACCACTGTCCAGAAACATTAATCATAATCATGCTAACCACTAGCATAGTATCAACTTATATCCTACATATCTACAGCAGTGGTCATCTCACTGTGGTAAACCAGTACGCGAGTCATTGGTTAGACACACCACCTCATCTGTCTGAGACAAGACAGAAAACTGAAGGGGAACATACAGGTTTCTCTCAAGTTGTGGTGATGTTATAGAAAGAACTAGCACCAAAACACTTGGTTGTGCATGGACGAATGTACAATAACAAGATTGAGCAAAAACACTTTAATTCTTTTGTTGATTACTTAATGCTGCTGTAACATTAAATCATAACTCTATCACTAATTCCTCTGTCTTTGTCAAGTGCAAACCATGAGAGAGAAACAGTTTCTGCTATTAGCATACATTATATACGGCTGACAAAGAAACCAAACCCAATTCATAAAAGGAAATCATGCAAAAAGAAATAAAACCTCAAAACTGATTGTGGCTGAATCAGAGGCATGTGGAAGAAAGTCCATGACCCAAAGATACACATTGAACCAATGCATACAAGAAGATTGTTTGAAAGGCAGTGCTGCAAAGCTAACCAATGAAAAAGTAAACAAATGTTTACAACTTCTATATTTTACTATAAGAGCAACGTTTCAGATCCTTATATCTTTGTCAAGCAGGACAGAATATTGATCATGGTACAGTATTATCGTAAAGCGATTCACGTTACCCCTTTCATGTTTGATACTGTTGTTAACGGTCATTCTGTACCATGTTCATTATCCAGGCCTGCTTGACAATGACACAAGGATATCTACCAAAACATTGCTATCACAGGGACACTACTACAAACTTGCTAGCCATAAACATTTTGTCTACATTTGCAAGAAGTTTCTTGGGGAACCAGGCTCCGAGGTTTTGAGCTGACTTCAAACCTTTGTGTATGGTACATACTGTAATTTGTGACTCAGGCCTTGTCTATGTGTTTAGGTAAATCAATTAGATTTCAATGCATGACTACACTTGTGGTAAGAGATAAACAAAGTGGAGTTTGACTTGGATGTCCTGCCCATGAAGCCTGGTCCCCCCGTTAGTGCACGGTGCAGCTCACACTGGTCCAGCCTGGAGGACACTGACGCCACAACCTGCTGCCTGACTCAGCACACTAACAAGACAGTAAACAGATGCTGGTAAGTCTATAACACACTGATCTGGATGTACAGGACCTTCCACAGCAAGGATGGCACAAGAATGTTCTGCCTCTGACTCCCCTAGAGCACACGGATGACCTATGATGACCTGGAATCTCCAACTGGAGACAAACAGGGGACACTGGGAACCTACCAGGGGAAGACAAGCATGAGGATCTATTCTTTGCAATCTCCAACAATACTGGGGTATTTGTGATCTGTTGTGCCCTTGAATCATGATAATATTGTGGTAGTTGGGACCAATTCATCTTTTGCATGGCAACCATCTAGGACAAAAACTAGGGTCGGTCTCTAATAGTTGAGGACTGCAATGAGTCATTCCATGGACATACTGTGCACAAGTCTCAATATAGGTTCGTCCAAAGCAAGGATAGCTAATTCTTCCCTGGATTCTACATGGGGAGACAAACACAAGTTACTGGGGACCTATTGTTCTTCCATACACTGAAGTGTGACAACAATGATAAAGGACTATTGGAAACTACTCTCTCTTTGAATGCTGACAGGTAGACAACCTTGTGAATTATTCTGCCCTTTGGATGCTAGCAGTGAGCTATTCTGCTCAAGAATGCCCAAAGGGAGACAACCTAGGGAGCTATTCTGCCATAGAATGCTGTAGAGGGAGACAACCTAAGAAGCTATTCTGGTACAAACAGAACTGGTAAAAGCAGGAGAAGCAACTGAATCATGTTTCTTGAAACACAACAAAAATTCTAACAAATGTAACCAAAATGCTTGTACAAATTAAAAATACAGAAAAATACAGCAAGTATGATTGTGAGAGAGCAATTTTAGTTTTTTCATAACAATACAAACATTTCATGATGGTCAGTTTCGAATGTGAAGGAAAATCTCAAATGCTGACTATACATGAGGCTTCACTTGGTGAAAGTTATGAGTACAGCCATGCTGCTGGAAATTTAAAAGCAATCAGAAGTGGACTAAGAGTGATCTGATTCAACTGTACACTGAGAGTTGCACCACCCTTGACAATTAGCCAAGTTTTAAGTTTCTGCTGGAATATCAGTAAGAAAGTCGTGAGAATCTCTTCTGACTCTAGATCACTGGCGGCCCACATGTTCCCCAAACTGTGTTGAAGTACCAATAATGTACTGGTCAAGAGATCTAAACCTCAAAACACTGGTCCCATGTACCTCGGACAGCTTCTTAGTGAGAGACACAAACTAGTGATGATAGCTGTTCTGTTTATTGTCGAAGGACAAATACATGGGCAGTACTGATACAAGACAACAGAAAGATGGTGCAGATTTTAATTCACGAAAAAACTAATGATAACGATGTAAGTCTCTATTGGCAGACATCAAGTTCAGGGGACCTATTTTGACTTCAGAAATCGTACCCATGTACATATAACTTCGACTTATCAATTCCACCATTTCCTTGCTACGTGATCTTTAAACATGCATCCACAAGACAATGACTGATTTCAGAGCGACACATATCACAATGGATCTTAAAGTAAAGCTGAAATGCGCCAGGTCCAATCTGAGAGTGAAACTCCACTGACATATTTAACAATATGCTTAATATACCATGACTGGTTTGAGAGTGAGACCCCAACAGATAAAAATGCAACTGTGCCACAATGGATCGGGAGATAAAGCAAATAGACCATAACCAATTTGGGAGTGAAACAACCTTTTTGTGGTCAGTCCTACAGTGATCTAAGAGTGAAATGCAAGATGTACCATGACTGATTTGAAAGAGAAGTCCCAGAGCATAATGATTTATCTATGAGTCACATGTGTGATGTACCATGACCAATGTGATGAAAGTGAAACCCTCCATAAGAAATGAAACCCTGAGTGGAGTGAAACTACAGGAGGCGGAACTAATGTGGACCAATCACATTGACAACACAAACCACACCATCCTCCCTTACCTACCAACGTTGCCATGGTAACTAGTGTTTGTGCTTTTGTTTTTTCTGTAATAAAAGGATTTACTTGTAGCATGGGATATTTGTTTGATGATAAAACCATGTGTACTGAGTGTGTCTACCGAGGGCTGTTTTTAATGAATTATTGTAATACTTACAGGCTCTACTGAGACACAATGACAGTACTTGTACAACACTTCAATACTCAGGTACCATGGAGGTAAACATCACATTCAAGATTACTGCACGTGTTATACAGTGGTGTGTGTGCTTGTGTGTGTGAATCTGTCTGTGTCTTCATACCTCATCCACACTGGCATATCTGTGTGACCAGTGATCATATAGCTGCTTCCTCAAACCACAGAGGAAATAGATTTCATGCCCAATGCTGGGAGCATAAAACACAACCAATTCCAGTGAACTGAAACTCATTTGGGTCATATCACAGTAACCATGCAAGCCAACAGCAACCATACAAGCCCACTGCAACCATACCAGCCAACTGCAACCATACAAGCCAACTGCAACCATACAAGCCAACAGCAACCATACAAGCCAACAGCAACCATACAAGCCACCAGCAACCATACAAGCCAACTGCAACCATACAAGCCAACTGCAACCATACAAGCCAACTGCAACCATACAAGCCATGCAGCCATACAGCCTACTGCTAGCATACGGCCGACTGCAAGCATACAGCCTACTGTAACCATACTGCCTACTGCAACCATATGGCCTACTTCAACCATACAGCGTATTGCAACCATAGAGGTTACTGCTACCATACAGCCTACTGCTACCATACAGCCTACTGCAACCATACAGCCTACTGCAACCATATGACCTACTGCAACCATATGCCCTATAGCCTACTGCAACCACACAGCCTACTGCTACCATACAGCCTACTGCAACCATATGGCCTACTGCAACCACACAGCCTATTGCAATTGTAGAGCCTACTGTAACACAGTGAAATATGAGGACAAACAAACTGTACAACATTTGATACTGAAGGTCAGTATGAAGATGTACATGATATATAATTCTAACCTGGGTCTATGCCATAAGTTCAAACCAAATCCTTGGAAACATGTGAGGTGAATGCTCAGTTTGGATGTCCTCCCTTCAGAGAGGCAAGCTTGCATGATATTGGCTGGAACTGCCTTAGTATTAGTTTCATTATAATCAGCATTTACACTTTGTTTCCAGACTGATGATGGTGTGGCATGCTTTACCTATGTCATGGCAATATGAATCTTGAAATATGACGCACAACTACTGCTACTACTTGAGGTACTGTCAAGTAGTGGGATAGTGAACACCTGAGATGGAATAGCTGGTTGATGAAAACATTTCAGATTCAACACCAAATCAGTGAAGACCTCAGATATAGAATAGCTGGTCAATGAACACCTCACAGATGACGCCCCTTCCAGGCACCACCTTTCACATTTCATTAGGAGAATGAGTTGAGTCTTAGGCCATCCATATTTTGTCATGATCTGTCTGACAGAGGGCAGGTAAATGAATAGAATAAAGAGATAACAACAAGAAAACAACAATAAAAAGTGTTTTCACTAATTGTGTTACTTAAATAATGAAATTTTAGAACATTGGTAATGTGTAACAGGGATTAACTACTACTAAGAAGACAATTTTCAGCTCCAAGTCGAACTGGACAAAATCATTTCAAAGACCAAGTGAACACCTGTTTTGTATTGATTACCTGACAAAGTGAACACCTGTTCTAAGCTGATTACCAGACGAAAGGATCACCTGCTTTGATTACCTGACAAAGTGAACACCTGTTCTAAGCTGATTACCAGATGAAAGGATCACCTGCTTTGATTACCTGACAAAGTGAACACCTGTTATTCTAAGCTGATTACCAGATCGAAAGGATCACCTGCTTTGATTACCTGACAAAGTGAACACCTGTTCTAAGCTGATTACCAGACGAAAGGATCACCTGCTTTGATTACCTGACAAAGTGAACACCTGTTCTAAGCTGATTACCAGACGAAAGGATCACCTGCTTTGATTACCTGACAAAGTGAACACCTGTTCTAAGCTGATTACCAGACGAAAAGGATCACCTGCTTTGATTACCTGACAAAGTGAACACCTGTTCTAAGCTGATTACCAGATCACCTGAAAAAGGATCACCTGCAAAGTGAGACACCTGTTCTAAGCTGATTACCAGACAAAAAGGATCACCTGCTTTGATTACCTGACAAAGTGAACACCTGTTCTAAGCTGATTACCAGATCGAAAGGATCACCTGCTTTGATTACCTGACAAAGTGAACACCTGTTCTAAGCTGATTACCAGACGAAAGGATCACCTGCTTTGATTACCTGACAAAGTGAACACCTGTTCTAAGCTGATTACCAGATGAAAGGATCACCTGCTTTGATTACCTGACAAAGTGAACACCTGTTCTAAGCTGATTACCAGACGAAAGGATCACCTGCTTTGATTACCTGACAAAGTGAACACCTGTTCTAAGCTGATTACCAGACGAAAGGATCACCTGCTTTGATTACCTGACAAAGTGAACACCTGTTCTAAGCTGATTACCAGACGAAAGGATCACCTGCTTTGATTACCTGACAAAGTGAACACCTGTTCTAAGCTGATTACCAGACGAAAGGATCACCTGCTTTGATTACCTGACAAAGTGAACACCTGTTCTAAGCTGATTACCAGACGAAAGGATCACCTGCCTTTGATTACCTGACAAAGTTAACACCTGTTCTGATGCAACTTTCCTGGGGATAGTGACTTATTGTCCCAAGAAGGTCGCATAACCTAAATATAAAGACCTCTTGAAGGAAGACTTGAGTGTACTCACAACCTGCTCCAGCACAAACCCTCTTACCTGGAGGTACTCTCCGAGGTCTACTTGAGCATTCTTGTTGAGGTCTACTTCACTGAGAATCTCATGGAGTTGATCTTCAGTCACTTTTTCTCCAATTTTCTGCAAAATACAACACACTGGTTATAATGCAATCCTTCATCCAACGCAGTACAAACATGTCTACAAGAAGATGAAGATTTGAGACATAGCAGTCATTCCACAATGGCTGAAAATGGAAAATCTCCTGAACTTTTCCTAAAGCAGCTTTAAAGATTAAACTTTCTTAATGAATTCTATAGTTGCATATAAAATCTTCAGTTTTATCAAATAGGTTACATTTTCAAGACTTAAAGAATCTCATATGAATTTCAAAACAAGGACCCATGGATCCAAATACACATAAAATATCAATTTTAGTTTCTCCGCTGAGCATGCAAACTATTGCGATATGATGTTAATATCTACATCTATATGTTGTTATAATATCCCAGTATCAATGAAGCTCCTCTAACACATCCAGTCCTTCTATACAAAATGTTAGAAACGGCTACTTGAAAACAAAACCATATAGCTGAGTTAGACTTGAGCAAATATGTTAATGAGATGTATGAACATATGACATACTGACTGTCTACACATCAATATTCTGATCAGATAAGGCCAAAATATAATAATTTTCAACCAAACTTTCGAAAAATTTGAGACTAGAGCTACTTACATTATACTACATAAAAAGCAATAAACGAACACTCTTTTTCATCCATCCAAAGATTAGACATTAGAATCATCCATCCAACAACTAGCCCCGACGATCATTACTCCTCTAACTACTAGCCCCCACAATCACTCCTCCAACTACTAGCCCGACAAAAACTCCTCCATCTACTGGCCCCGACAATCACTCCTCCATCTACTAGCCCTGACAATCCCTCCTCCAAATACTGGCCCCGACAATCCCTCATCCAACTACCAGCTCTGACAATCCCTCCTCCAACTACTAGACCTGACAATCCCTCCTCCAAATACTGGCCCCGACAAAACTCCTCCATCTACTGGCCCTGACGATCACTCCTCCATCTACTGGCCCATTTACTGACAATGACAATCCTCCTCCATCTACTGGCCCCAACGATCACTCCTCCATCTACTTGCCCTGACAATCACTCCTCCATCTACTGGCCCTGACAATCACTCCTCCATCTACTGGTCCTAACGATGACTCCTTGAACTACTGGCGCTAACAATCACTCCTCCATCTCCTGGCCCTGACGATCACTCCTCCAACTACTAGCCCTGACAATCACACCTCCATCTACTGGCCCTGACAATCACTCCTCCAACTACTGGTCCTAACGATGACTCCTTGTACTACTGGCCCTAACGATCAGTCCTTCAACTACTGGCCTTAACGATCCCTCCTCCATCTACTGGTCCTGACAATCACTCCTCCATCTACTGGTCCTAACGATGACTCCTTGAACTACTGGCACTAACAATCACTCCTCCATCTCCTGGCCCTGACGATCACTCCTCCATCTACTAGCCCTGACAATCACTCATCCAACTACTGGCCCCGACAATCACTCCTCCATCTACTGGCCCTGACAATCACTCATCCAACTACTGGCCCTAACGATGACTCCTTGAACTATTGGCCCTAACGATCAGTCCTTCAACTACTGGCCTTTACGATCCCTCTCCATCTACTGGTCCTGACAATCCCTTCTCCAACTACTATCCAAAGAGTTCAGCCCATCCAACCCTCCCATAATGTTCTCAAATACTCAGACATTCACATCTATGTAGAAAAGAATGAGTGAGGTTTTACACAATTATTTCAGAATATTCCAGCAATATCATGGCGGGGGCACACCAGAAATGGGCTTCACACATTGTACCCATGTGGAGAACCGAACCCTGGTCTTCGACGTGATGAGGAACACTCTAACCACCATGATACCCCACTGTCCCATGTAGAACTTTGTGTTTACTGACTTATTACAACCAGTTTTATCAAGACCAATATGACAAAAGGTTTAAACATATGAATGTTACCTTCTCAGCATCATATCTCAAACTCTACTAAAATGCTGTTGTGTAGATTTGTGAGCACTTCATCAAATGAAGTGTAAAAAAGTGAAATGAATTTCTAGTGGTCTGCACTATTTCTGAACAAATAAAGAGTGGTTGAATCTGGAGCAGTGAAGCTGTTGCTCCTACAGGCAGCAATCTCCTCAAAGCAAAACAGCCATGTTGTGTAGCCATTACAGCCATCCAATTCCAGACTAGACTCCCTGCACAAAATTGCCTCTGGATGAGATGATGTTTACTGTGATATGCATAAGCCATTTGTTCTACTGTTAGTTTATAACAGCAAATCTTCCCATTTTAATTATTGAACCACCAAAATTAATAATTTGAGAAGATTAAATACATTCTGATGTCAAGAATTCATATCTATCACGATATATTTTATTATCTTATTGAAAGGATCTGCTGGCAATCAGCAACGTAAGCATGTAGGTACTGTAGCTCACAACATATTTTACATCACCAGCTGGAGAAATCGGCTGCAAGTTATGGAAAATGTAGCTGTACAGAAGGCTACAAGGTTTTTGATCACATGTGCAATGTAGTATGTTTGAGATGAGGAGGCAGTTAAACGTCAATATATATGTGGTTTAATTCTGTAAAAAATGTTCTTTAGTCAATTCAAACTATGTATTACAATTTCTGAGATGCTAAGAATTTCCTTTTCAAAAGATTATCCACATTACTTTGAGAACATAATGTCCATGTATTTTCCGCAATATGAATAGTGTTTGATCAGACGAAGAAAAGTAAAGTTTTATACAAGAAATCCAAGATTAACACAGGGTAGAAATTAATTCATATTTTCACAAGTCAACAAAAAATGATCTTGTATAAAATCAAAATTGAAATATAAGTGAAAGAAATGACTCTTGTTTTTCTTGAATCAGTTCATGATGCACACTAGTAGGCCTCCGATTAATTGAAATAATCGAAGATTGACTAAACAACCAAGCAATTGATCAAGTTTTCTCATAATCAAACACAAACAATTTTGGAACACTTTTTTGCATTAACAATATTTTTCACAAGGTTGGTTTTGTCTGTCATTAATTTACATTTCAGAAGCACTAAAAGTTCGTTCCAGGTCATGATTAAATTATTCTTAAAGACTCCAGAAAATATATGTCCCTAACATACTAGTCATCCTTTAATGAGGTGTAAAATTTGCAAATGCATTTTGTGCAATTTGCAAAAAAACACACATAAAAAACCCCTAAAGAATTACATGTTTTTTCTTTAATTTGTTTTTGTACATTAAGAAACATTACAGGAAAATTTGATAAATGACGCTAACCAATTATTTTTTCGATGACTGATCAGTTGTAATGAACCAATCATCAATTATGAGATTTTAACCAATTCCCATCACTAACGCACACATGGTTGAATATAGTTGCATGCAGTCCCAGAGGTTGGTTATTTCATGATTCAGCTGCTAGTTGCAGAGTTCAATCTGAACAAAGTAATAAAAGTTTCAGAATGAGCCCGGTGAGAGAAGGAATAAAAGGAACAGACCCCTGGTAGATATGCAACAGACGAAAGTGCACCACAATCTCACCCTGACCTCTGGCCCTGGCGACCTGAACAACATGGAGGTGACAAGGAACGTAACTGAGTTATGGACTCAACATATTCAGAAGGAGAAGATCACTCAGCTGAAATGCACCACAAAGTTTTACCTGGGATGTACAGATCACGCAACACCCATCAAAAATAAATAAATAAAACACACAGACAAAGAATGTGCTTCAAAAACAAAATAAATAAATAAAAGTATAAAGTGGTGACTATTTTTCAAACTGTTGAAGAAAATATTGCAATGTAAGAAAAGTGTTTGATTCTGCCATTCTCTACATGAGTGTGCAGTGAAGCAGGTTAGACAGGACACCAGGTGTTAAGCCACTGTGCTAGGGCAGAAGGTCTACATGGTCTGAAGTCTTGACAACACCACTGGAAGCTAACAGGAAGCAGCAGCACATGAACAAACCTCACTTTCAAAATAGGCAAGTTTCTGTCAAAAGAATACAAGAATGTGTCACTGAATAGATGAACAATGTATAGATGGAGTAGTAGTGTATTGGTGGATTAATTCGTCGAAATGGACAAAACTATTCCTTCTGTACCATTACTTACCTGTCATTTCATTGTAAAAATGTTTATCAAAATTGTGGTAACTTGACAAAAGACCTTGAATGTAGCAATTAAGGTTTTAATGAGATATATCCTACCACTTTTGTTTATTACTGTGAGGAGAAAGTAAGCTTTTAGCGATATTGCACATATATGATTGAGACATTAAGAATGGGCTCATCGTATGGGGGAATCGAACTCAGGTGTTCTGAGTGAAAAGCAAACACTTCAACCACTGTGCTGCCGATATTGTACCTATGTGTCTTACAAACCAGTGTCTTCCTAGCCCAACACTTGAACCTCCAGGCTAACACCAAACTTGATCCAGAGGAGCAACTAAGGAGACAGTTGTCAACATTTGAAGGTTGACCTACTATCAACAGTGTCGTGAGGTAGACAAAGGTCATTTTCCTTCCCCATGTAAGAATGGGCAATCTCAGATTGGTTCACGTGACCATGAACCAATTACCATGCATGCCTGGTGAACAGGATGAAATAAACCCTGAATACCCCTTATCACAATAGTACAACGTATATTATAACCTGTCCTCTTCGTGTTACCAGAACCAGTAAACATGCTTGACTGCATTATACAACAGTCCAGCATTCTCACCTGACGTTTTGAGGTGATGCAGTGATACCAGTGGAGTATCCTGGCATGTACAGCATTTGTCATTAATCAAAATATATCAAATCCCTGTCTACTTGACAACAGGATGCAACTTATCTACAATGAGAGGAATATATTCATTGACTTCCTGATAGTCTTTGACTAACAATGCTCCAATCACAGCACTTGTTGCAAGATTCTCTCCACTGATGACCTATGTGTAGAGGCTTACCTAATACATAAGTGAGGTGAGTTAAGAGATTGACACTGATTTTCTTTCCACACTTGTAACAGTTTGGTATATGTTCACATATCAGCAGGACTAGTCTTGCTTCAGCTTGCTGCATTTACTTTTGCCCAACATGCTGTAAACTAGCCCATCAGTACCTAAACCCCCAGCATAACTAGCCCATCAGTACCTAAACCCTCAGCATAACTAGCCCATCAGTACCTAAACCTCCAGCAAAACTAGCCCATCAGTACCTAATTCTTCAGCAAAACTAGCCCATCAGTACCTAATTCTTCAGCATAACTAGCCCATCAGTACCTAATTCTTCAGCAAAACTAGCCCATCAGTACCTAATCCTTCAGCATAACTAGCCCATCAGTACCTAATTCTTCAGCAAAACAAGCCCATCAGTACCATAACTAGCCCATCAGTACCTCATTCTTCAAACCCCATCAGTACCTAAACCTTCAGCATAACTAGCCCATCAGTACCTAAACCCCAGCATAACTAGCCCATCAGTACCTAAACCCTCAGCATAACTAGCCCATCAGTACCTCATTCTTCAGCATAACTAGCCCATCAGTACCTAAACCTTCAGCATAACTAGCCCATCAGTACCTCATTCTTCAGCATAACTAGCCCATCAGTACCTAATCCTTCAGCATAACTAGCCCATCAGTACCTAAACCTTCAGCATAACTAGCCCATCAGTACCTAAACCTTCAGCATAACTAGCCCATCAGTACCTAAACCCTCAGCATAACTAGCCCATCAGTACCTAAACCTTCAGCATAACTAGCCCATCAGTACCTAAACCCTCAGCATAACTAGCCCATCAGTACCTAAACCCTCAGCATAACTAGCCCATCAGTACCTAATCCTTCAGCATAACTAGCCCATCAGTACCTAAACCCCCAGCATAACTAGCCCATCAGTACCTAAACCCTCAGCATAACTAGCCCATCAGTACCTAAACCCCCAGTATAACTAGCCCATCAGTACCTAAACCCTCAGCATAACCAGCCAATCAGTTTATTAACCTTTAGACTGCTGCAAATTAGTGACATAACAGTAGTACATCAATATATTCAAAGTTGCTTTAACATGTTATTAGTGTTTGGAACCAAATGGCCTCTGTCACATGCAAATGATAAATGATTTGATCGGCTGCAACTTCAGTTGAGGTCAAAGCTGCTGAGTTTGTTCATTGTCATAACACAAAGTGCCTCGTTAAACTTCTCATCTCCACGACAAACTTACAACCTTGACATGGCACAGACTCAAACTCTCAGACAGCCACCTACCAGATTCTCATTTACTGCTTGGTGAACATAAGTACATATTGCTGTATTGTACAAGAGTCGTGTACAACAAAACATTTCCTATGTATGTTAAAACACAGACTTGCTGTCTTGCAACAAACATGGCAGAGTGTATTGAGTAGAACATCCTTGGCAGGTCTGACATATGTACTAGTGTGCAGGTTATATCTACACGGAAGAAGAACGGTTTCCAAGCTGCCAAGCCCATGGACTGCACTGATACACACAACACTGCATTCAGCAATAATCAGTCACACCAACACTCAAGGCAAATGATATCACTGTGAATAAAACATATCTAGCACTAACTTTATAAATGTTACCAACAAAACATTCAACAATAACACAATTATAATAACTATGTAAAATAATTTATACAAAATGTACATAACAGTCTGTTGTTAATTACAACATAAAGTTAAAAACATGAGAGAAAATCTTTGAAGGATGACAACTTCTTATTTCCCAGATTTCAGTATGGACGACATAAGCTGTCTGCCCCTAACATGACTGAATGAAAGAAGAAGCCAACCAGACAAGATTGATGCCCACATTCTACCAGCTAGTCAGTCCAAACATCCTGAACAAGGCAATATTAAGACAAGGACTCACCTTGAAGTATCTGCGCAGGTCGTTGATGGTGATGTAGCCCTTGTTGTCATAGTCCAGGCCCTTGAATCTCTTCACGTACATGTTGATTTCATCCTTAGTAAAGTTAATAGGAGCCTGCAATTCCGAGGCCTTCTTAATGTCTAGACCCATCTCCCTGCGGAGGAAGCGTTTTGCTCTTTCCGTCTCCTCCTAGACAAAGATGTACACAGCAAGTTCAGACATACAAGCATGTGCAACCATGTACAAATGCAACAAAAATAAAGAAATTATAAAACAGAAAGTTAAGACATACAGACCAGGAAGCAGGAACTCACTGAATATGCAGGACATTGTTAATGTCAGGGTCCGAGACGGACCTGCAATCAATACTACAGCCACCTAGTGTTGTACAGTCAATAAGGGACATGAGTTAAGGCTATACTGAAGTTTCTCAACCTAAAATCAGGGTAGATGCTGCCTGAATATACAAATACAGAAGTCTTGAGTATGCACGGCTAGAAGAGATCATTGAGCTGTTGAACAGAGATGAGTTGTTTTGCACGTTTTCAGGTCAATAAACATTTTTCTAAAATCTACTCCTGGAGACACAATCAATACATTCTGTCTACATATATAGTGAAATCATATTTATTATCCATATGGTGAAACATAATCAGCGTCATATATATCATATGTGCACATGTGTACATATCGTTTTTTCCTAGCAACCATTGTTTCTGTATTTTGTCGTCTATGATGTCAATGAATAGGGCCGTCACACTTGCTTACTGTGTTTTGCTGCACAAATGTACATGAATAAAATGTATAATAAAGAAATTATTACACTCTCAATAATCTCTATTTTTTCAGATTTTCTTTGAACTTTAATATCTCCTGGATTATAGGGTAGAGAGTAATTCACCTTGGTCTGGATAACATGTTCTCAACAGCAGTTCTCTGACACTTTATGCACCAATGAGTTGAGACTGATGTATTTTTTCCATATGCTTCCATCTTGCAATGAAGTTGCATGTCAAATATTAATGAATAAGTTTGATTTAAACAAAAGTCTGCAAACAACAAACCTTCTGTTTTGTTTTATTCCACTTGAGTTCTTCAGCCATGATTTCAATGATGCGTGGCAAGGCTTCCTCTGCTGCATGAACGTTGCAGAACGCCAGACGAGTACGTCGTGCGAGGACATCTATTGCTGAACAGGCATACTCCCGCACAGCGTACTTCACCTGTCAGTGAGTGGTATCAGTTAGTGAGGGCTTGTATACTACATGAGCAATATTCTTGTCATGTTATGGCAGACAGACATACTCCCGCAGAGCGTACTTCACCTGTCAGTGAGTGGTATCAGTTAGTGAGGGCTTGTATACTACATGAGCAATATTCTTGTCATGTTATGGCAGACAGACATACTCCGGCACAGCGTACTTCACCTGTCAGTGAGTGGTATCAGTTAGTGAGGGCTTGTATACTACATGAGCAATATTCTTGTCATGTTATGGCAGACAGACATACTCCCGCAGAGCGTACTTCACCTGTCAGTGAGTGGTATCAGTTAGTGAGGGCTTGTATACTACATGAGCAATATTCTTGTCATGTTATGGCAGACAGACATACTCCCGCAGAGCGTACTTCACCTGTCAGTGAGTGGTATCAGTTAGTGAGGGCTTGTATACTACATGAGCAATATTCTTGTCATGTTATGGCAGACAGACATACTCCCGCACAGCGTACTTCACCTGTCAGTGAGTGGTATCAGTTAGTGAGGGCTTGTATACTACATGAGCAATATTCTTGTCATGTTATGGCATACTACATCAGACAGACATACTCCCGCAGAGCGTACTTCACCTGTCAGTGAGTGGTATCAGTTAGTGAGGGCTTGTATACTACATGAGCAATATTCTTGTCATGTTATGGCAGACAGACATCACAGGCTTCATACACTGTTATCATGTGGCCATACCAACTGCTGGTTATGACAGCCATTTAACTCTGCACCACTGTGATTGATGCAAGGACTAGAGAGACAATATACTCCTGGCATCATAAATAGATCATACCACGCTCGGTCTCATTACATACGAATTATATGAAACGAGTGTCCTTCCTATGGTATCTGACTTTCGGTCAGATACAATAGGAAGGACCATAGGTTCGTATAATTTATGCGTAATGAGACCGAGTGTCAATATTTTATTATTACCCACGTCTTACATGCATTAAATTGACAAAATAGGCGTATTTTTGTTATTTTATTTTTTACCCAACCCGGTTTCATATGCATTAAGAGTTTTGTACAAAATTTTTGCATGGCGTCACACTGTAATATTTTTATACCTTCAAACCGAAACCACGATGCATGTCAGTTTCATATACAAATTCCTACAGTAAACTACTCCGTAGCAACATGTTTTTGGTACTTGCTACTACTAACATCACTGGTGGAAACATTGATGTTTTCACAGATGTAATGTCTCAGTTCGACTCACAATTAAACAGCGACTTGCGTTTTAAATGTTCCCACAATGCATATAAGTTGTAGAATGAAAAATAGTTACGTCAGAATGTGACCTATTGAGAGGTCATCGGTTATCAATCAAATCGTTAGAATCTCAGGTCAAGTCGTTCTGACACAGGTCAAACGAAACACTTTCGTGTCAGATTAGTATGCAACTACCCTACATTGACCCGCGTGGGTAATAAAAGCTAATAACTTGCTATAGATACCTGAAATAGCTTCAAGTTATGAAAAGCGTTCAGTTTTGTGTGCTCAACTTCAACATTTCTGATTGGTCAATCTGTCTCACACCAAACATCAACCACTTCTGATTGTTTATATGCCTGACTCGTCAATCTGTCTCACACCAATCATTCACAACTTCTGATTGGTCAATCTGTCTTACACCAAACATCAACAACTTTTGATTGGTCAATCTGTCTCACACCAAACATCAACCACTTCTGATTCATTACCTCAGCCTCTGTATAGGGGTACTCCTCTGATAATCTCCTCCCAACAATGGGCCAGCGGCGTCCTGTCAGGTTGGCCAGCTTGGCCACCTTGAATGCCTTGTCTCCATATGTGTTGGCCAGATGCTGAGCAACCTGGAGGCAACAGATATTAGGGTTACACCATGCTTTTGTCCTATGTACTTCTTGAATGTTTGCAGTTAAGTATTAACAAGCAATGCACCACAAAGACTACACAATTCCTTTGATCAGACTTCGGAGTTGGCTTGCCAAAACTTCTCATTTCTTCCCCCTTTTTACAGATTGTGTTATGCTTAGTGGTCAAATATGGATGATTATCAACTGAGCCAATTTAAATCCACAGCAATAGGGATGGACAAGTGCTAAAGAAGGCACACACACATTAAACACCACATTTCTCAACTCATGTCTTTTATTCCTACTATTAACATCTGAAATAGGTAATTCTTCACGAGCCTTACTTCATTCTCCAGCCCAAAGTCCTGGACGAGCCTGATGAAGAGCGTGGGAGTGAAGCCATGTGATCCCTCCACCATCAAGCCCTCTGTACGGCAGCCCGAAGTGGGGGTCAGGCCACACACCTCCACAGCCTTGTCAATGGTCTCCTGCGCCATGTGACGGTACGTCGTCCATTTCCCTCCTAGAACAAACCCAGATAGAGAGTTAGTGTCAGTACATCATGATGCTATTAGGGAGGGATGCCTTGAAGGATGCATCTATCTTACCCATCTATTGTTTGACTGGCATTCTAGAAGATGGCGAGTCAATAATGATTACGACTTTATGGATAACAACTTCTTGTCTATTACAAAGAGCAATGTTCAAGTGTAGATTCTTAAACCATTGTCAGGCTGTAGTGGGACCAGGTGTCTTAGTGTTATTGCCAAGAGCCAAACTTAAACTGGACTCAAAAACCAAAACAATCCATCTCAGCATGCTGCAGCAACTCACTACATTAAGACCTGTGACCCCAGTGTAGCCTGGTAATCTACACCTGAACATTGTTCTATGTGATTAACAAGAAGCTGTGTTATCTATAAAATCATAATACCCATGCTAGGTCTAACCACTCTGGTGAAGCTCATGGCCACAGGTATGGTACTGACAACCAGGAATCACAACTAGTGTGAGCTATGTTACGGTACAGGAGTTACGATCATCCTAGCACTAAGGTTGCCTTGAACTCCTGACAGGCAAGGTGTCAGACTTGATGTATAAATAATAACATTAGGTATTTCTCAGTTTACCAGTATTTGGCAATGGTTGCACATGAAAGTGTGAACCATCCCATTCGTACACAGCAGACATTGGTTCCATCTCATGCTAGTCTCAGCAAACTCCAGGAAATAACAATATGGCATCAGGGTCCTGTTATGTCCTACCTCCTCTTTAAGGCTTAGTCAAGATGTACGTACCTGCTATTGTTATAAGACTATCAGCAGCAACCTCTATAATGTGGTTTCTGGCGATGGATTGAGTATCCGATTTGTTGGGGTCGGCTACAAGTGGCCTGAGCCCACTCCAGGCAGACAATACATCGCCTCTCCGCACACTGGGAAAACAAGTAAAACAATAGCGATATACATGATCAACTGCTGATGATTCTCGCATGAAATGTAGTAGAGAATAAAAAACAAACCAGTATAGTATAAATTTGTTATCGTTACAGCAATATACTCTTAACTGTTATACATACTTCATTGTGATATGAATACCTGATATACATGTATTGTTTCATTCATGATTTCAAAAAGTTATGTAAATATAATTCAGTCAATGCAGGCATAAAATGTGACCTCAGAGCTCTGTTACTATTCGCATGTCAGGCCCATGTCAGGCCCATTTTGCAAGTTGCTAGGCTACTGGTAGTCTAAGCTTAATGTCTACAGTGATTGTCAGTGTCATATAGCATATGCAGTCATAAAGTTGTTTCACAGACGCAGCAAATCTCACCTTCAACATCTGGATTTAAATAATTCCTAATTTCATTAAGTATGAACTGAATCTCTTTTTCTGTGGGTTGTGGGTAGTCTGTGACATCGCAGGGGCTGTCCGTCGTGCCTGGCACAACAAACAACATTCACTGCAGATAATGCACAACAATAACATCATTGTCTATAGTCATCAACAGCCAAGACACCATGCTCACATATTCTCAAACTATGTTAACATAGATGAGGAAGAATTAAGTGAATAATGAACTGGTTAGAACTAATAGGAGGGATTTCAGATTATTTCTTCTATATGACTGCAAGGTATAAGCCGCAGGGGTGGAAATAACTTTAAAATTGCTAGTGGCAACTGGTACAGTGGCACATGTAAAATCACTTGCCCTGATAATTTTTCTACTTATACTGGCCGATTTTCTTGTTGATTTTTTAAATAAACAACATAATTAACTATTGGAAAGTCAACTGGACACCGGTACAGTGTGATATACAAATTTGCTTGCCCGACAGAAAAAGACACTGGACTGGGGCATCAGGCAATGGGTTATTTCCACCCCTGAAGCCACATGATTACAACAATAGTCTCACAGAAGTGTCTCTGGGGAGACAGATGACTAAGTGATGAACAGTGAAGGGTGTCATGTTGTTCTCAACAATGAAGCAGTGTGATATCACTTCAATTGACCAGTCAGCATAAGTGAGTGAGTGAGTGAGTGAGTGTTGGGTTTTATGATGCTATGAGCAATATTCCAGCAATATCTTGGCAGGGTAACCAGATATGGGCTTCACACACCGTAATCATGTGGGGGAGTGAACCTGGGTCTTCAGCATGACAAGAGAAGGCTTCAACCACTAGCCTACCCCACAGCCCAACCAATCAACATTAAGAATAGCTACATGTTTATATAAGGGAAGGTTGTTGGTTACACACAATATGTCAGCACTTATGATTAATATTTCTCATTTAACAACTGGGAACAGAACACCTTAATTAGAAATGCAGATGTGTCGTTACTCTCAGCAACCACCAACTACTGGAAATAGTCATGGTTTTACCACAAGTAAATGTTTTCTAACAGTGGCCTGGTTACCATCACAATTTGTGACTAATATTCTCATACATTCCAGGCTCATTTCAATCACATCACAATGGAATCATTAACGCTGATTCACCATCCCAAAACAACAGATACCTTCCTCCAAGAACACCTTACCATGTTGGTTTTTGTTGCATACTGAGCAACTCTTTAGTGCTGGGCCGCAATATTTCAGCTGTACAGAGCGACCTGTACTGAGTTCAGACCAGACAAACTTGTGATTGATACACACACTCAGGGTATAAAAACACCTTCAGGGTATGTGGACACACCTTCAGGGTATGAGGATGCACCTTCAGGGTATGTGGACGCACCTTCAGGGTATGTGGATGCACCTTCAGGGTATGAGGATGCACCTTCAGGGTATGTGGACACACCTTCAGGGTATGAGGACACACCTTCAGGGTATGTGGACACACCTTCAGGGGGGACACACCTTCATGAGGACACACCTTCACAGGGGTATGTGGACACACCTTCAGGGTATGAGGACACACCTTCAGGGTATGGGCACACCTTCAGGGTATGAGGACACACCTTCAAGGTATGTGGACACACCTTCATGGTATGTGGACACACCTTCATGGTATGTGGACACACCTTCATGGTATGTGGACACACTTTCAGGGTATGTGGACACACCTTCAGGGTATGAGGACACACCTTCATGGTATGTGGACACACCTTCAGGGTATGTGGACACACCTTCAACCATATCACCTATCCTGACCACCAGATCAATCACTGGATTGTCTGACCGAGTGCAGCATTGACCAACAAACACACAACCCATGTTACCTGCTAGTGTGACTTTCTGCCATGGCAAGAAGAAGATGACCCTCCCGTCACTGGTAGATGGATCAAGCAAACCCATACTCTCAGGACTGGAACACAAACAATAGGTCTAAGAAAAGGGTCCTAAACTGTAATGTGTACATAGTTTGGGACAGTGGTTGATAGTGCGAGGTCTACACTGTCAGATGATCACTAAATCAGCCAGATCCAAATCAAAGTGGGGTAATGGGTTTCCATGTGATCACCCATTTCTATCAGCCATTTCCACAACCAACATTCAACAAATGTGGCACATCAATCTGTCCTTGATATATGTATTGCATTTAAACTTGAACACACATGGTGATAATCATACTTCTGTAGCAGAGTAAGTTATCTGTACAACACATGTAAACTAAGCTAATCACCTGTAGCAGCCATGTATATCAAGCTAATCACCTGTAGTGGCCATGTATATCCAACTAATCACCTGTAGTAGCCATGTATATCAAGCTAATCACCTGTAGTAGCCTTGTATATCAAGCTAATCACCAGTAGTAGCCTTGTATATCAAGCTAATCACCTGTAGCAGCCATGTATATCAAGCTAATCACCTGTAGTAGCCTTGTATATCAAGCTAATCACCTGTAGCAGCCATGTATATCAAGCTAATCACCTGTAGTAGCCATGTATATCAAGCTTATATCCTGTAGTAGCCTTGTATATCAAGCTAATCACCTGTAGCAGCCATGTATATCAAGCTAATCACCTGTAGTAGCCTTGTATATCAAGCTAATCACCTGTAGCAGCCATGTATATCAAGCTAATCACCTGTAGTAGCCATGTATATCAAGCTAATCACCTGTAGTAGCCATGTATGTCAAGCTAATCACCTGTAGCAGCCATGTATATCAAGCTAATCACCTGTAGCAGCCTTGTATATCAAGCTAATCACCTGTAGTAGCCATGTATATCAAGCTAATCACCTGTAGTAGCCTTGTATATCAAGTGGGGTAATGGGTTTCCATGTGATCACCCATTTCTATCAGCCATTTCCACAACCAACATTCAACAAATGTGGCACATCAGTCTGTCCTTGATATATGTATTGCATTTAAACTTGAACACACATGGTGATAATCATACTTCTGTAGCAGAGTAAGTTATCTGTACAACACATGTAAACTAAGCTAATCACCTGTAGCAGCCATGTATATCAAGCTAATCACCTGTAGTAGCCATGTATATCCAACTAATCACCTGTAGTAGCCATGTATGTCAAGCTAATCACCTGTAGCAGCCATGTATATCAAGCTAATCACCTGTAGCAGCCTTGTATATCAAGCTAATCACCTGTAGCAGCCATGTATATCAAGCTAATCACCTGTAGCAGCCATGTATATCAAATATCACCTGTAGTAGCCTTATATATCAAACTAATCACCAGTAGTAGCCATGTATATCAAGCTAATCACCTGTAGCAGCCATGTATATCAAGCTAATCACCAGTAGCAGCCATGTATATCAAGCTAATCACCTGTAGTAGCCATGTATATCAAGCTAATCACCTGTAGTAGCCATGTATATCAAGCTAATCACATGTAGCAGCCATGTATATCAAGCTAATCACCTGTAGCAGCCATGTATATCAAGCTAATTACCTGTAGCAGCCATGTATATCAAGCTAATCACCTGTAGCAGCCATGCATAACAAACTAATCACCAGTAGTACCCATGCATATCAAGCTAATCACCTGTAGCAGCCATGCATATCAAACTAATCACCTGTAGTAGCCATGTATATCAAGCTAATCACCTGTAGTAGCCTTGTATATCAAGCTTATATCCTGTAGCAGCCATGTATATCAAACTAATCACCTGTAGTAGCCAAGTATATCAAATATCACCTGTAGTAGCCTTATATATCAAGCTTATATCCTGTCTTAGCCTTGTATATCAAGCTAATCACCTGTAGTAGCCATGTATATCAAGCTAATCACCTGTAGTAGCCATGTATATCAAGCTAATTACCTGTAGCAGCCATGTATATCAAGCTAATCACCTGTAGCAGCCATGCATATCAAACTAATCACCAGTAGTACCCATGCATATCAAGCTAATCACCTGTAGCAGCCATGCATATCAAACTAATCACCTGTAGTAGCCATGTATATCAAGCTAATCACCTGTAGTAGCCTTGTATATCAAGCTTATATCCTGTAGCAGCCATGTATATCAAACTAATCACCTGTAGTAGCCAAGTATATCAAATATCACCTGTAGTAGCCTTATATATCAAGCTTATATCCTGTCTTAGCCTTGTATATCAAGCTAATCACCTGTAGCAGCCATGTATATCAAGCTAATCACCCGTAGTAGCCTTGTATGTCAAGCTAATCACCTGTAGCAGCCATGTATATCAAGCTAATCACCTGTAGCAGCCATGTATATCAAGCTAATCACCTGTAGCAGCCATGTATATCAAGCTAATCACCCGTAGTAGCCTTGTATGTCAAGCTAATCACCTGTAGCAGCCATGTATATCAAGCTAATCACCTGTAGCAGCCATGTATATCAAGCTAATCACCTGTAGCAGCCATGTATATCAAGCTAATCACCTGTAGTAGCCATGTATGTCAAGCTAATCACCTGTAGCAGCCATGTATATCAAATATCACCTGTAGTAGCCTTATATCAAACTAATCACCAGTAGTAGCCTTGTATATCAAGCTAATCACCTGTAGCAGCCATGTATATCAAGCTAATCACCTGTAGCAGCCATGTATATCAAGCTAATCACCTGTAGTAGCCTTGTATATCAAGCTAATCACCTGTAGTAGCCATGTATATCAAGCTAATCACATGTAGCAGCCATGTATATCAAGCTAATCACCTGTAGCAGCCATGTATATCAAGCTAATTACCTGTAGCAGCCATGTATATCAAGCTAATCACCTGTAGCAGCCATGTATATCAAGCTAATCACCTGTAGTAGCCATGTATATCAAACTAATCACCTGTAGTAGCCATGTATATCAAGCTAATCACCTGTAGTAGCCATGTATATCAAGCTAATCACCTGTAGTAGCCTTGTATATCAAACTAATCACCTGTAGTAGCCAAGTATATCAAGCTAATCACCTGTAGCAGCCATGTATATCAAGCTCATCACCTGTAGTAGCCATGTATATCAAGCTAATCACCTGTAGTAGCCTTGTATATCAAGCTAATCACCTGTAGCAGCCAAGTATATCAAGCTAATCACCTGTAGCAGCCATGTATATCAAGCTAATCACCTGTAGCAGCCATGTATATCAAGCTGATCACCTGTAGTAGCCATGTACATCAAATATCACCTGTAGTAGCCTTATATATCAAGCTTATATCCTGTCTTAGCCTTGTATATCAAGCTAATCACCTGTAGCAGCCATGTATATCAAGCTAATCACCCGTAGTAGCCTTGTATGTCAAGCTAATCACCTGTAGCAGCCATGTATATCAAGCTAATCACCTGTAGTAGCCATGTATATCAAGCTAATCACCTGTAGCAGCCATGTATATCAAGCTAATCACCTGTAGCAGCCATGTATATCAAATATCACCTGTAGTAGCCTTATATATCAAACTAATCACCAGTAGTAGCCTTGTATATCAAGCTAATCACCTGTAGCAGCCATGTATATCAAGCTAATCACCTGTAGCAGCCATGTATATCAAGCTAATCACCTCACCCGTAGTAGCCTTGTATATCAAGCTAATCACCTGTAGTAGCCATGTATATCAAGCTAATCACCTGTAGCAGCCATGTATATCAAGCTAATCACCTGTAGCAGCCATGTATATCAAGCTAATCACCTGTACTAGCCATGTATATCAAACTAATCACCAGTAGTAGCCATGTATATCAAGCTAATCACCTGTAGTAGCCATGTATATCAAGCTAATCACCTGTAGTAGCCATGTATATCAAGCTAATCACCTGTAGTAGCCTTGTATATCAAGCTTATATCCTGTAGCAGCCATGTATATCAAACTAATCACCTGTAGTAGCCAAGTATATCAAGCTAATCACCTGTAGCAGCCATGTATATCAAGCTAATCACCTGTAGTAGCCATGTATATCAAGCTAATCACCTGTAGTAGCCTTGTATATCAAGCTAATGACCTGTAGCAGCCATGTATATCAAGCTAATCACCTGTAGCAGCCATGTATATCAAGCTAATCACCTGTAGCAGCCATGTATATCAAATATCACCTGTAGTAGCCTTATATATCAAACTAATCACCATGTAGTAGCCTTGTATATCAAGCTAATCACCTGTAGCAGCCATGTATATCAAGCTAATCACCTGTAGCAGCCATGTATATCAAGCTAATCACCTGTAGTAGCCTTGTATATCAAGCTAATCACCTGTAGTAGCCATGTATATCAAGCTAATCACATGTAGCAGCCATGTATATCAAGCTAATCACCTGTAGCAGCCATGTATATCAAGCTAATTACCTGTAGCAGCCATGTATATCAAGCTAATAACCTGTAGCAGCCATGCATATCAAACTAATCACATGTAGTACCCATGCATATCAAACTAATCACCTGTAGCTGCCATGCATATCAAACTAATCACCTGTAGTAGCCATGCATATCAAGCTAATCACCAGTAGTACCCATGCATATCAAACTAATCACCTGTAGCAGCCATGCATATCAAACTAATCACCAGTAGTACCCATGCATATCAAACTAATCACCTGTAGCAGCCATGCATATCAAACTAATCACCAGTAGTACCCATGCATATATCAAACTAATCACCAGTAGTAATCACCTGTAGCAGCCATGCATATCAAACTAATCACCTGTAGTAGCCATGCATATCAAGCTAATCACCTGTAGTAGCCATGCATATCAAGCTAATCACCTGTAGCAGCCATGCATATCAAGCTAATCACCTGTAGCTGCCATGCATATCAAACTAATCACCTGTAGTAGCCATGTATATCAAGCTAATCACCTGTAGTAGTCTGGTAGCACTATATGTACACCTGAGCTGGGTTGGCAGATTTTCCGCACCTCAGGGTTGGACATTTTACGAAGACTGTCCGTGTACGGCCCGGTGGCATTTATCACACACTTAGCTTTAATATCAAACTCTTTTCCTGAAACAAATACAAACAGTGGCAGGTAAAATAATCATTTCCACATGTCCCTGGGGAACAAGTGTAAGTGTGTTATTGCATCAGGTGACTAGGGTACCAACAAATCCACCGAGAATTTCAGAATATTCAGTGAAACAATAAGAAAACAAATTGTTTGACATGTTTTGACCATGTTGTAAGTGTTAATTCAATTAACATGTCAAGTTAAACATACAGGAGTGTTGACCATCATCCTGCCTGGCTTGGTTATAGGTTTGCCTATCTCTCTTTCATAAATAACATTCCATTCTCAATTCATGAAAACCTAGTTGATTCTGGTCATCATCAATAATGAACTGAATTCATGAAGGGATACGCTTCAATACACCAAAACATGAGTGACACCCACAGTGGAGACATCATCCCTTTTTGTAAGGCTACGACCAGACAGGATGCTGATAGGTCAGTTTTTTGTAATTTATGTAGCCAACCATTGGATCAAGATATTCAAGCAGTTAAAGCAACAAGCAGAACCGTGGATGATCTGGCTTCCTACAAACTTTAAACACTACCCATCTAGGAGACACTTACCAGTTATTAAGTCTCTAACATGAGCTCCGCACACTGTCTCTTTCCCCTCCCCGTCCTTAGTCTTGAGTAGATGTACAACCTCTGTGTGGTTTGTGAGTGCACCACCCATCCTGATTGACGTCATTGCTAATGATATGTTCATCCTGGCATCGTCATGCTGACCTGTGGAGAGGGAGGTGAACATAAACAAACTCGACCAGTTCAAGCTTTGTCACAGTGCCTTTGTCTGAGTGCCTCTGAGCAATTTGTTGGAAGAGGCGTTACATAAACATTAACTTTATTTTTATTATTATTGATATATTCCCTGCATCATATAGTATAATACTGACAACTCTTGGGGACTCTGGGTAACAAAGTGAAGGAAATCAGATGGACTAGGATATTGTCAGGGTTTTTTCTCCAAAACCTCTTCAGTGATTAAATATGAAATTTTTAAAGTAAAATTAATATTTTTATACTTATCCTGACTCATGTTTATTTGCTTGTCTTCTTCTTCTGGCGAACCTAGTGGAACACTTGTATCTCCCAATTGAAGTTCCCTTCAATAAAAAATCACTCATTAGTACTGACCACGAGTTACCTCCCTTCCACAAGCGCGGGAACGAGGGCGCCACCTGAACCCATGTGCCTCACTCTCTCCTCATATACTGAGCTCAACACCTGAATTTCCAGGGAAATCCAAAGTGTTAAGTGGGGAGGACGGAGGGAGGGTTACCTCATGAGTCAGGATAAGTATAAAAATATTAATTTTACTTTAAAAATTTCATATTTTTCTTATCCTGACTCATGTTTATTTGTTGGTAGAATCCTACGGAATAGGAGGTGGGATTATATATACTTTGGATTTTACTAATTAGTGATTTGAACTGAGATAATTGTAATAACCCTAAGGGAACTTCATGAAGGCACTGAACTGAATTCCTGCTGTTAACTTATCAGTTGCCATATAAGGGTTATTACAATTTACTGAATATAATAAAAGTATATAGAACATTAATTAAGCTAAAGCTATTAATGTGATAGTATAAACTGTTGATAGTTTATAATGAATACTTTTATAAGAACCAAAGTAGTAAGCTTACAATATGCATATATGTAAGTTATAACAGAATTGTGCTTAAGGTATAATGATACTTTTGTTGCTGTATAATAGTAACCAACTACTGAGAGTTTGTTAACTAATACATGTTATGAAATGAACATATGACTGAGCTTAAGGAGTGAAACTTAACCAGAACATATATATAATAGTAGAACTCTTAAGAGTTGTAGGCATATATATAGTATGATTATAGAACTGTGCTTAAGATATAATTAACTTAAGCAACCTAAATAGCCAAAACAACTCCTTAGAGTTTGTTAGCTATTACATTTTATAATGTAACCATAATGCTTAAAATATGATGAAACTTAAGCTAAGTATATGATAGTAAAAACTCTTTAGAGTTTGTTAGCTAATATACTTATATGATATAAACACAGTACTGAGCTTTAAGATATGAATAAACTTAAGCTACATATATAATAGCAAAAAACTCCGTAGAGTTTGTTAGCTAATACATGTTATAATGTAACCATAATGCTTAAGATATGATGAAACTGAAGCTAAGTATATGATAGCAAAAATAAACTCTTTAGAGTTTGTTAGCTAATATACTTATATGATATAAACACAGTACTGAGCTTTAAGATATGAATAAACTTAAGCTACATATATAATAGCAAAAACTCCGTAGAGTTTGTTAGCTAATACATGTTATAATGTAACCATAATGCTTAAGATATGATGAAACTGAAGCTAAGTATATGATAGCAAAAAACTCTTTAGAGTTTGTTAGCTAATATACTTATATGATATAAACATAGTAATGAGCTTAAGATATGAATAAACTTAAGCTACATATATAATAGCAAAAAACTCCGTAGAGTTTGTTAGCTAATATATTTATAATGTAACCATAGTACTGAGCTTAAGATATGATTAACTTAAGCTAAATATATAATAACAAACTCCGTGAGAGTTGTTAGCTTACATATTGTATGATATAATAACCATAGTACTGAGCTTAAGATAATAAATTGAACTTAAGCAAAATATATATAGCATGTAGCTATTTAGTACTGTTATAAGATAAGTAAAATTCTGTAAGATGGACTTATCTTCTCCAAGGAACTGTCAACTGTTGTGCGAGGACCATGGGACCGAATAGGTGGATACCTGAGACGTCCTCGGTGGTGATATCTCTCAGATAGTGGTTGGCAAACACCATATCGGATCTCCAGAAATAACCCTCCATTATTCCAAAAGCATTTGTGTAGAGCAATTGTAGATGTTAGCGCTCTAATATTATGAGGATTAGAAGCTCATGGAGGGTAGAGTCCTACAGTCTTGTAGGCACGTAGTATGACAGTTCTGATCCAAAAGGAGATATAGTAGTACGTGAGACTTTCGTCTGCGTAGCTTGATAGAGGAAATAAATCTCTTGCATTTTTCCCTCCTGTTTGGCTCGGTGGAGATATATTTCAGTGCTGTTACTGGCCATCGTGATAGATTCATCGTATCATGGGGTTCAAGTATATCATCAAAGCGTGTTCATAAACCTCACTTGTGAGGTGTTGGAGCACTATATTCAGATCCCAAGTTGGAGCGTGAACTTCCGTTTTAATCCTCCAATCGGAAAGCTCGTAGCAGGCGAAAGTAACTGGGTTAGGTTAACTTGACGCTCGCTCTCAGTTATGATAGAGCTATTGCTGCAAGATAGGTGGACAAGCTGAGCCTTATAAAATCTTAGTCTGACGTAGATAACATAAGAAGTCCGCCACTTGAGGATGAGTAGCATATCTAGCTGTAAATCCTTCCTTTGCAGCATAATTGACAAAACTGTGCCATTTGTCATCGTATAAGTTGCCAGTTGAGTTACGCAGGGCAAGTTAGACTGCTTTGCCGCTCTGGCTGAATAACTTGTTATTCAGACACGCCTTGATACAATCCATACGTGAAGTTGGAATATATCTGGCTTTCCGTGCGCTTGTTTGGTGTGCGGATGTATTAACAGATTCAAGCACTCTGTAAGATGTAGTATTGGTTGTCCGATTTCTTGAATAAGAGTTGGAAACCACTTCCTCGCTGGTCAGTAGGCCGTGACCAAAATCAGATGGAGGCTCTGCTTTAGACTGATTTAGAGTAAACTTGTGAGATTAACGCTGGTGGCGGAAAAGCGTACGCGTTGAGACCTTCCCACGATATGCTTAGTGCGTCTGTTGCCAATGCTAGTGGGTCTGGAACTGGCCTAACGAATGTTGTCAGTTGTTTGTTGAATCGAATGGTAAATAGGTCTATTAGTGTAGTTCCTATTTCCTTGATAATTTGAGTGAATATCTCTGTATGGAGCATTCATTCTGTCGTCGATGGTATGTGTGACCGAGAGAGAGCGTCTGCTATCACATTCTTTGCTCCTGGAATGTGATATGCTCTGACATGTATGTTGAGATTGTTGATTAAATCGACGGGGACCTGGTTGAGCTTAGTTTGTTCACATAAAACGCCACTGTCGAATTGACTGTGTGAATCATCCACTGGGTATACTGTAGTAAGTTGTTCCAGTGTATTAAGGCGTTTATTACTGCTTGCATCTCTAGCAGATTTATGTGTAATTGCTCTCTGGATTGCTCATAGCCCTTATAGTGACACATCTACGTAGAGAAGTGTTATCGATTCCAGCTCTATTAACGAGACGCCTATTCAAACATTCGATCTCTTGGTGCATCATAGTAGATGAGGTTTGACCTGAACCGATGAATTGAACGGTAGAGATTCGTCTAGATGCGAATTGCTGATGACTTGTAACGGATGTAATTGTAGTCTGCCTCTGTCTGTCATGTCTTGAGCTGAGCTGAAGTGCGTAACCTCAACAGACTCTGTCACTGTCGTAGTGGTAGCGGAGATAGTAAGGCTTGTGGAAATGACTGTTGGATCTTGATCCATGGTCCTCCGGTACAATTATACGATTCTGCGCCGTTACAAATCAAAAACCTAGAAATAGCAGATCTTGCGAAGGTTCTAGGTCCAACTTAAGTAGGTTTACTAACCATCTAGTTGTGTTAGTAGCTTGATGATGAATTCAACTGTAGTCTGAGACGCTATGGATTTGAATCCATTTGTATCCCGTCGTCGAGGTGAATTCGCTGCGAAGTGCTTGACGATGTAGATGCATAACCAGGGGTGACTGCCATCGTTGAACTTTATGTAAAAAAAAAATCGTCTGACTGCCGTGTCCTCGTCCTTACTTGACAGGGGAGGTCTCTAACCTCAAGAAGGCAGCCCAATCATGAAGGTTTAGATTAGCTGGACTGTAAGGAGGCTTGCTCGTTAACTGATATATTGTTGTCACTTGCAACCTAAGTGTTGAACTGTGAACTATGATCGACCTCTGCGTATGGCGTTGTCCGTCTCGGTCCAATCAGAACAAGGCATTTTGATTCTGTAGAGTACCCGCTGTGACGCCACCGTGTATCAGGAAAGGAACCTTGTATAATATAGTGCCGTCGTTGATATTAGAACAATCGTCGGTCTTCACCGTAACTTCCGAAGTTACCCGAAAGTGACCACGCGATGTTTCGAGGGTTGATGGTAAACACGCTGAAACCTCCGCCAAAATACCTCGCTTTGTAATATTAATGCTGGGTAAGTTATTTTCCAGGCTGTCGTGAAAGTAACTTCAGTCTTGAAGATAATTCCGACTTCCTTATATAAGGTTCAATAACCTTGCAAGTTGTCAGCTTGTAGACTGTTAAAGCTGAACTTGTTGTACATATTACTTCTGAGGAAATCGTTGACGATTATGAGTTTTACTCGCTGTAACAAGACTGCTGTTCAATTTCGTTTTGAATTGTCTGCAGATCTGCGTAATGGTCACGCATGTAGATAATCGTGTCGTCGTAGTAGGTAGTCGGCTTGAAGATCCCTAATTAGGCTCTTCATCCGTTGATAAATTAATACAGCGACGTTGTGTGTTGTAAATAGCCTGTGCAATTGTCTACGCGTAGGCTTGTAGACGGCATATGGCTTACAGTTGATAAACAACTCATGTGATGTCTTGAACGGACTGACGAGTGGCTATATATGACGAGTGGCTAGTATATGGAGACCTTGGAGGAGACTTCCTCGGCGAACGCCGGGGATTTCGCTAAGATCTCGGCAACGCTTCTAGATCTTCTGGGTGAAGTAGACTTGGAGCCACTTAGCCTTCGCGACCTTCGCGCGAAGTATCGAGTCAGAGTCCGATCAATATATGAGCTTGCTTCACGAACGACCTCTGTGTTCTACAGGGTGTGGGCTCGGCGAAGCGCTCCTTCGATCTTAAATGATACCATCGTCTTCCTCTGACGTATGGTCGTATGTCGGAGCCTCGATCTGTAAGAAGATCTATGTGAGGACTGAGGAGAACGGACTGACGATTGGCTAGTGTATGTAGACCTTGAAGAAGACATCCTTCGCGGAAACTGTGGGCTTCGAGAACGGTGATGGCTTCACAGACGCTCTGGACTTCTCGAACGTCGAGGGCTACGCGAACGCCTTCTAGGCGTTGTAGAACCACTTAGCCTTCGCGTCTTGCGCGAATGTCTGGAGTCAGTGTCCGATCCGACATATGAGTGCTTGCTTTGCGAACGCCCTTCGTACATGACAAGGTGCGTGCTAGGCGAAGCGCTCCTTCTCCGCGAAGCCTCTTGCAAAGGGTCAGGCTCTAGCTCCTCCTCGGAGGCGGCCTGGGATACCTTATGCAAAGAGCTCACTCCGGGCAGGGTTGCCCTTCGCGGAGGTGCGTCTATGGGCTCAGGGGCCCTACGCGAAGTCAAGGCGGGCTCTGGGGCCCTGTATGACTTAGTATGGGGTGGGCTCTGGGGCCCGTGGCTCTGAGGCCTCTGTAAGCCGTAACGGTCTTCCATCAGCCTCATGATTTGGTTGACAAGGTCGTCTGGGATGGTCTGCGCTGGCGTTGAGGGTCTCCTCTCTGTGATAGTGACGGGACCCTCAGTTATAATCTCCGGCGTCAGCGTAGGCATCTCTGATTGCATGTTGATCTGCGTTGAAGTGACGGTAGCCGTACTGGTCACTTCTTATGACATACATCTGGAATGATAAACGAAATGTCATCATCATATAAACATAATTCTGAATATCAGAAGCAAAGTTTTTTAGTAGCTTCGTGGATTTCCCTTTGACGAGGCTGTAGACCTGGGGGCTCGGAGCATACGTTGAGACGACGTGGAAGTTCTTCTAGTTTTAGACTGTGATGAAGGAACGTCCTGGGAAGCAGGTCGCTTCTAGATATAGCGGACTGCGTCCCACGCTTATCCCCCGAAGGTAACTCAGGATATATCTGACTCCGATCTATTAGCCATGACTGAAGATTGTTTCCGAGATTTATCTGCCTTCCGTCTCAAAACGGAACATAAATATTTATCAAAGGCAGAAATTGGTAAATTAATACATAATTTCCAACGAGAAACAATAGAACATGGAGTAATGCAACTAAGGCATTTTAAATGTGGATCGGTAGCAGAGTAACGTAATTTACAAACAGTGCAGATTTTTATTAATGCAAACTGCTGAGCAAACACGGCGAACCGTGAATCAAGCAGCAGAAACACGAATAATTATCAATGCATGTTGAACAATGATACTAGTTACACCTCTATAGATGAATATAAGAGGTAACAAACTAAATATAAATAAAGGATATAGTGTGCAGGGAGACACAGGTGCTCTCACGTCTTGCTCACTGGGCGAAGAAGGAGAGAGTGAGGCACATGGGTTCAGGTGGCGCCCTCGTTCCCGCACTTGTGGAAGGGAGGTAACTCGTGGTCAGTACTAATGAGTGATTTTTTATTGAAGGGAACTTCAATTGGGAGATACAAGTGTTCCACTAGGTTCGCCAGAAGAAGAAGACAAGCAAATAAACATGAGTCAGGATAAGAAAAAATATGTTAACTTTAGGTAATAGTATATCTGGTATCTATAACACGAATGAGTTTTTACCCATAAATTTATGTCTGAGGTCCTGGGAACCAGCCATTACACATTGTGGCCACCTGCCAGGTCCTGGGAACCAGCCATTACTCATTGTGGCCACCTGCCACTAATGTTGATCAGCACGACCAGCCTGAGGTTTTGGGAACCAGCCCTAAATCCAAGACAAGCGTACAAAAGTTGTTTCTAGCACACTAACCATCATAGTAGACCAGGGCACCAACAAGCCTGTCCTTCTTGAGCATGGGGAACAACTCGAGGGCCTTATTCTTGGACAGATAGTAGCTGGGCTTGAGGAGCTGTTTCCCCGCCACCAGGTCGTACATCTTTATCCCCGCCCAGTAGTACGGCACCTGCCACCACCTGTCAAACACACACAGCATCAATCCATGCGGCACTGACCATGGCCCTGTGGATACAGCACATATGGTCAGTGGTTCAAATCCCTAAATATCACACCAAATCAATAGCACTTGTTACTGTGCCTATCATGTGGATAAAACAAGTGAGACTCGGTGGCCATGTAGGTGACTTGACTACATGCAACATGATCGGGAACAGATCAAACAAGATGTGGGTTGAACGGGTAGGCAAGATGTGGGGCGATGTCATTTACTTGTATACAGGCAGCATTATGGGGAACGGGTAGGCAAGATGTGGGGCGATGTCACTTACTTGTATACAGGCAGCATTATGGGGAACGGGTAGGCAAGATGTGGGGCGATGTCACTTACATGTATACAGGCAGCATTATGGGGAACGGGTAGGCAAGATGTGGGGGCGATGTCACTTACTTGTATACAGGCAGCATTATGGGGAACGGGTAGGCAAGATGTGGGGGCGATGTCACTTACATGTATACAGGCAGCATTATGGGGAATGGGTAGGCAAGATGTGGTGCGATGTCACTTACTTGTATACAGGCAGCATTATGGGGAATGGGTAGGCAAGATGTGGGGCGATGTCACTTACTTGTATACAGGCAGCATTATGGGGAACGGGTAGGCAAGATGTGGGGCGATGTCACTTACTTGTATACAGGCAGCATTATGGGGAACGGGTAGGCAAGATGTAGGGCGATGTCACTTACTTGTATACAGGCAAAATGATCGGGAACAGATAAAACAAGATGTGGGGCGATGTCACTTACTTGTATACAGGCAAAATGATCGGGAACAGATAAAACAAGATGTGGGGCGATGTCACTTACTTGTATACAGGCAAAATGATCGGGAACAGATAAAACAAGATGTGGGGCCATGTCACTTACTTGTATACAGGCAGCATTATGGGGAATGGGTAGGCAAGATGTGGTGCGATGTCACTTACTTATATACAGGCAGCATTATGGGGAACGGGTAGGCAAGATGTGGGGCGATGTCACTTACTTGTATACAGGCAAAATGATCGGGAACAGATAAAACAAGATGTGGGGCGATGTCACTTACTTGTATACAGGCAGCATTATGGGGAATGGGTAGGCAAGATGTGGGGCGATGTCACTTACTTGTATACAGGCAGCATTATGGGGAACAGGCAGGCAAGATGTGGGGCGATGTCACTTACTTGTATACAGGCAGCATTATGGGGAACGGGCAGGCAAGATGTGGGGCGATGTCACTTACTTGTATACAGGCAGCATTATGGGGAATGGGTAGGCAAGATGTGGGCGATGTCACTTATGTCACTTACTTGTATACAGGCAGCACTTATTATGGGGAATGGGTAGGCAAGATGTGGGGGCGATGTCACTTACTTGTATATAGGCAGCATTATGGGGAACGGGTAGGCAAGATGTGGGGCGATGTCACTTACTTGTATATAGGCAGCATTATGGGGAACGGGTAGGCAAGATGTGGGGCGATGTCACTTACTTGTATATAGGCAGCATTATGGGGAACGGGTAGGCAAGATGTGGGGCGATGTCACTTACTTGTATACAGGCAGCATTATGGGGAATGGGTAGGCAAGATGTGGGGCGATGTCACTTACTTGTATACAGGCAGCATTATGGGGAACAGGCAGGCAAGATGTGGGGCGATGTCACTTACTTGTATACAGGCAGCATTATGGGGAATGGGTAGGCAAGATGTGGTGCGATGTCACTTACTTGTATACAGGCAGCATTATGGGGAATGGGTAGGCAAGATGTGGGGCGATGTCACTTACTTGTATACAGGCAGCATTATGGGGAACAGGCAAGATGTGGGGGCTGATGTCACTTACTTGTATACAGGCAGCATTATGGGGAACAGGCAGGCAAGATGTGGGGCGATGTCACTTACTTGTATACAGGCAGCATTATGGGGAACGGGTAGGCAAGATGTGGGGCGATGTCAATCAGGTTAGCTCTTTCTGAAAGGGCTTCCTTCACCATCCGATACTGGAGATAAAATAATCATGAACGTAAAATTTCTTTTAAACATTAACAACTATAATATCATTCCGGTAGGGGCAGTATGGTAGCCTAGTGGTTAAGGTGTTTGCTTGCCACACCTAAGACCCAGGTTCAGTTGACCACATGGGTGCAATGTGTGAAGCCTAATTCTGGTGCCCCCGCCGTGATATTACTGGAACATTGGAAAAGCAGCGTAAAACTAAACTCACTCACTCACTCACTCAATATCAAGATGTCTAACATAAGTAATGGTCTCATGCATTGTAGCTATCAATGGAATCAACTTGGGTTTTTGATGTGAAGAGCTGATACCTTTACCACTAGGCTATCCTACAGCTAAATATCCATTCAAAAGAATGGTTAAACTTATGATAAGTCAAATACATGTAAACAAGCTGTTATTTATGATATTAACAGCAATAAAATCCCAGTGGTGAAGCTTGAGTACCTGTTCATAGTCAAGGTTGAAGACTGCCTTCTGTAGGTACCGAACACCGCCGTGGATCAGCTTCGTGCTTCTACTGCTGGTTCCAGCTGAGTAGTCAAACTTCTCAACCAAAGATGTCTTCAAACCTGAACAGACATCCTAACTGTGACAGAGTAGGTAGTAATACAAAACACAGTCCCTCATCCCCAAACAGACATCCCAACCATAAAGTGTTCATGGCCAACACAGTATATAGTTTCTCATCCCCAAACAGACATCCCAAACAGTCCAGCGACAGAATCAACAAAATAACAACATAACTCATCACTGAAAAGGTGCATACATCTCAAGAGTATCACTTTAAACAGACAGCATCCAGTGCCTACCTCGACTGACAACGTCCAGTGCCTACCTCGACTCACAGCATCCAGTGCCTACCTCGACTCACAGCATCCAGTGCCTACCTCGACTGACAGCGTCCAGTGCCTACCTCGACTCACAGCGTCCAGTGCCTACCTCGACTGACAGCGACTCAGCAGTGCCTACCTCGACTGACAGCATCCTGTGACTCACACCCCTCCACTGACAGACTGACAGCGTCCAGGACATCGAACTCCTCTGTACCTCGACTGGCCAGTCGACTCACAGCGTCCAGTGCCTACCTCGACTGGATGTCCTCACCCCCCTCCCACGTAACGGCCAGATGTCCTCCCGTAGCGGCAGAGGAGCATTGCTGTACTGCTGCTGGACATCTGCTGCCAACACCCGACCCAACTCGCTCTGTATCGGTGAATCAGGGACTCAGTCAGTGGGATGGTTATATGCCGCTTTCAACAGTATCATCATTGTATCATGTAACATGGAAGCCAAAACAGATGTTGATGGTTACCGCACAGATGGTGTTGACAGACCAAGTACCATTATAACTGGTTTCTGACATGCCTATGGGATGTAACTCTGTACAAGAAATTGTGGCAACTATATAATTTGGTCATCTGTCCCCTTGAACCCAATATCATAGGATTCTGGCATGTCTAAGGGGACACAACTCAGTTACTCTGTAAGGAAATCTTGGAGAATTGGATAAATGGGCCATCTGTGTCATCTCAAACCCAACACCATAGGTTCCTGCCATGTTAAAGGGGCACAACTCTGTACAACCAACCCAGACCCATATCAGTTTTAACCCTTCCACAAAACAAAAATAACTAAATTTGTGATGCAGTTTCCTCATCATTCTATCCAATCAAACAAATAAATAGTCTTGAAATACACAACAATCAATTACACACTGGCTATGTTTATGTCAAAGTGTTTTATTCATGATATCATGTAATTGAAATACTCAAATAGTTCTCACCAGAAGACAGTAACAGACATTGTTATACATCTGAATCCCTTCATCAGATAAAAGATCTCAGTATAATTCCCTTTAAAGCGACCTACCTTCCTTGTGGAAAGTCTAGGGTAGACGACTGTCGCAACGAACACCCCACCACCAGCAGCGACACCAGCATACACAAGTCGCTTCACAGTCTGGGGTCGCACTCGCATGATGAACAGCTAGCTGTCAGTCAAACCATCACAAGCCTGGAAGTAGATGGAAAAAAACTGTCAGTGTGTGGGTGAGGGTTGAACTAGACCTGATTGGGTCAGCATCACACTGGATGTCAGTGTGTGGGTGAGGGTTGAACTAGACCTGATTGGGTCAGTATCACACTGGATGTCAGTGTGTGGGTAAGGGTTGAACAAGACCTGATTGGGTCAGTATCACACTGGATGTCAGCCATAATCTGGGAGAAGACTACCGACTGTTGGCCGACATCCTGACATGAACATCATAGACTGACACAATAAGCTGATGTGCACACTGCCATGCATCTGTAGCACTGCCAATAAAGGAGAAACAATGATTGTCATTTATAAATATAGATTTTTCAACCTTGATTTTGTCGTTAATGTCTGCCCAGGACATGCACCCTCGCATGTTGCTCATGTCCCTGAGAGATCCACTCACATCAAACAGTGGCCAACCATGCATGTCAGTGTCCCAGAGCTGACCGACTGCTGCTGAACCATCCGCCTAGCCCTGCATCTAGAGATGCCTCAGTTAGCCTGCAGCCGCATCCAACATTCATGATATGGACAGCTGGCATTAACATCATCAATAAATCATAGGCCAAGTTGGTTCACTACATGTATGTCATAAACAACTGTAGTTTATGTGATGAGAGCTATTTGTATGATGAGAGCTAATTGTATGATGGGAGCATGTTGTGTGATGAGAGCTATTTGTATGATGAGAGCACGCTGTGTGATGAGAGCTATTTGTATGATGAGAGCATGTTGTATGATGAGAGCACGCTGTGTGATGAGAGCTATTTGTATGATGAGAGCTATTTGTATGATGAGAGCCATTTGTATGATGGGAGCACGTTGTGTGATCACAACTACATCAACATCTACAACAATGTCTATTTATAGAGTCTATTCATGATGCACAAGACTGTTACATTCACTAGGTAAATACTCACTCCACATCATCATTACCCCATTCAATGGATCTGTCCCCACTCATTTTTCATTATCAACCCCTTCAGGAGGATATATTCCACGCTAACTTTGAGATGCTAGAGGAATAACATTCACAGCTAGGTGAACAGAGACGGACTGCTTCAGATGGTCACTTAACGGAGTTACATGCGCTTCAACATGGGACAAGACAGGAGCCATAGCTCTCAGGGGTGAAACTGCCCATTCAATCATCCAACTGCATTCTGCAACCAACATTACCACAATATTCTCTATCTGACATATACATAATGTGCAAAAGCTTTAGGGAATTCAGCACTTTAGTAAAAAAAAGAGTTTTTCAGTACTCATAATCCTTCAGTATATACAGATAAACAAATAGGTGAAAACAAACTGGGTCAAGAGATACTTGAAGTATGAAAGAAAAGATCTTTAGGCATTATGATTAAAATAAAAGTTGTAACATGACTTTGTGGGATGCTTGATTCTGATTGCTTGGCTAACTGACCATGATCAATCTTCAACCTAAAGCAGAGGACCAGATATTACACGGACCACTGCACCTACACATGAATACATAGCACTCACTGACCCCATTGTTTGTGAACAAACGTTGTCAGAATCAGACATCAGCGATTTTTCATCTCGGAAACCTGTACAAGGTGTTTGGATATGAATTTGATCTAAACTCAGAATGGTTCAATCATGAACTCGATTCAACTGGTGTGATGTGAAATTCGTAACCAAGTACTGGTACAAGTGTAGAAGTCACCAAAGCTCACATACCCCCGCTTCCCACTTTGGAACATGGACATGACTGATATTGATATATATAATCATGATAATATAATATATGATCAGCAGCTCACAAGACTTTCTCCTTGACTCCACCAAACTTAACCTCATTGATTTCTTAAACTTCATTGATAAATAGCAAATACAGAAACAGGATCAATCACATCTTTATTTGCATATATGAAATAAAGAAATTAACTATTTAGAATCAATCAGAACTATTTGCAGCACTTATGAAATGAACAAAACCACCCATGTACATACAGACAACAAATCACACGTTGATGACATGAAGGAAACAACTAATCTAGACACAGAGACTAAACCACATATTGGTACAGATCACATGAAGGAAACAACTAATCTAGACACAGAGACTAAACCACATATTGGTACAGATCACATGAAGGAAACAACTAATCTAGACACAGAGACTAAACCACATATTGGTACAGATCACATGAAGGAAACAACTAATCTAGACACAGAGACTAAACCACATATTGGTACAGATCACATGAAGGAAATAACTAATCTAGACACAGAGACTAAACCACATATTGGTACAGATCACATGGAAGGGAAACAACTAATCTAGACACAGAGACTAAACCACATATTGGTACAGATGACATGAAGGAAACAACTAATCTAGACACAGAGACTAAACCACATATTGGTACAGATCTACATGAAGGAAACAACTAATCTAGACACAGAGACTAAACCACATATTGGTACAGATCACATGTAGGAAACAACTAATCTAGACACAGAGACTAAACCACATATTGGTACAGATCACATGTAGGAAACAACTAATCTAGACACAGAGACTAAACCACATATTGGTACAGATCACATGTAGGAAACAACTAATCTAGACACAGAGACTAAACCACATATTGGTACAGATCACATGAAGGAAACAACTAATCTAGACACAGAGACTAAACCACATATTGGTACAGATCACATGTAGGAAACAACTAATCTAGACACAGAGACTAAACCACATATTGGTACAGATCACATGAAGGAAATAACTAATCTAGACACAGAGACTAAACCACATATTGGTACAGATCACATGAAGGAAACAACTAATCTAGACACAGAGACTAAACCACATATTGGTACAGATGACATGAAGGAAACAACTAATCTAGACACAGAGACTAAACCACATATTGGTACAGATCACATGAAGGAAACAACTAATCTAGACACAGAGACTAAACCACATATTGGTACAGATGACACATGAAGGAAACAACTAATCTAGACACAGAGACTAAACCACATATTGGTACAGATCACATGTAGGAAACAACTAATCTAGACACAGAGACTAAACCACATATTGGTACAGATCACATGAAGGAAACAACTAATCTAGACACAGAGACTAAAACCACATATTGGTACAGATGACATGAAGGAAACAACTAATCTAGACACAGAGACTAAACCACATATTGGTACAGATCACATGTAGGAAACAACTAATCTAGACACAGAGACTAAACCACATATTGGTACAGATCACATGTAGGAAACAACTAATCTAGACACAGAGACTAAACCACATATTGGTACAGATCACATGTAGGAAAAACTAATCTAGACTAATCTAGACACTAATCTAGACTAAACCACATATTGGTACAGATCACATGTAGGAAATGTACTAATCTAGACACAGAGACTAAACCACATATTGGTACAGATCACATGAAGGAAACAACTAATCTAGACACAGAGACTAAACCACATATTGGTACAGATCACATGTAGGAAACAACTAATCTAGACACAGAGACTAAACCACATATTGGTACAGATCACATGTAATCTAGACACAGAGACTAAACAACTAATCTAGACACAGAGACTAAACCACATATTGGTACAGATGACATGTAGGAAACAACTAATCTAGACACAGAGACTAAACCACATATTGGTACAGATCACATATAGGAAACAACTAATCTAGACACAGAGACTAAACCACATATTGGTACAGATGACATGAAGGAAACAACTAATCTAGACACAGAGACTAAACCACATATTGGTACAGATCACATGAAGGAAACAACTAATCTAGACACAGAGACTAAACCACATATTGGTACAGATCACATGTAGGAAAACAACTAATCTAGACACAGAGACTAAACCACATATTGGTACAGATCACATGGTAGGAAAAAAAACTAATCTAGACACAGAGACTAAACCACATATTGGTACAGATCACATGTAGGAAACAACTAATCTAGACACAGAGACTAAACCACATATTGGTACAGATCACATGAAGGAAACAACTAATCTAGACACAGAGACTAAACCACATATTGGTACAGATCACATGTAGGAAACAACTAATCTAGACACAGAGACTAAACCACATATTGGTACAGATGACATGTAGGAAACAACTAATCTAGACACAGAGACTAAACCACATATTGGTACAGATCACATGAAGGAAACAACTAATCTAGACACAGAGACTAAACCACATATTGGTACAGATGACATGAAGGAAACAACTAATCTAGACACAGAGACTAAACCACATATTGGTACAGATCACATGTAGGAAACAACTAATCTAGACACAGAGACTAAACCACATATTGGTACAGATCACATGTAAGGAAACAACTAATCTAGACACAGAGACTAAACCACATATTGGTACAGATCACATGAAGGAAACAACTAATCTAGACACAGAGACTAAACCACATATTGGTACAGATCACATGGTACAGATGACATGTAGGATCACATGAAAAACAACTAATCTAGACACAGAGACTAAAACCACATATTGGTACAGATCACATGAAGGAAACAACTGACACAGAGACTAAACCACATATTGGTACAGATCAAATCTAGACACAGAGACTAAACCACATATTGGTACAGATCACATGAAGGAAACAACTAATCTAGACACAGAGACTAAACCACATATTGGTACAGATCACATGAAGGAAATAACTAATCTAGACACAGAGACTAAACCACATATTGGTACAGATCACATGTAGGAAACAACTAATCTAGACACAGAGACTAAACCACATATTGGTACAGATCAAATGAAGGAAGATCATGAAAAGTGGAAAGTTAACATACTTTGAATAATCACATTTTGCAAAAAATAAAGCAAAAAGGCACATCTTTGGGTCATGATTAAGTTATTAAGTTTGGTGAACCCAGCATGTATAGTTCCGGTG